ACACACACACTCACACCCCACACAATCTCCTACACCATTCCCATACCACACCCAACCCCCATCCCATACAACATATACTTTCTCACATTCATCACATCCCCACTGTTACTATCCCTCCGTACCTCCACACAGCCTACACACACACCACACATATCCCCTCACATCCAAACACATCCCCTCACACCCATCACCCCATACCACACCCATCTCTCCCCGCTATGGGCCCCATACCACATAACACACCACATTTTTTCCTTCTTCTACTCCCAAGAGTAAGACTGCTCATGGCTGGGCGGTGATGGTACATGCCTTTAATCCAAGCATTTGGGAGGCAGAAGCAGGCAGATCTCTGAGTTTGAAGCTAGCCTGGTCTACAGAGGGAGTTCCAGGACAGCCAAGGCTACACAGAGAAACCCTGTCTCAACCCTCCCCCACCAAAAAAAAAGGGACTGCTCCTGCTCACATGTTCTTCACAGCCAATCCATAACTAATATGCCACTAGAACATTTGGTGTATGCCTCACTGATAATTTCCCAATAGTAATAAACAAATTATTAAAAATCTTTTAAGACATGCTTTTCTTTTTGGATACTAGCTGGTTCTGCCTCTTTTCTAGAGTATCTACAATTTGATAAATCCAGATGATAAATTTTGGACAAAAACCCTAAAGTAAACATAAGCATTGGTAATGAAATTGTGATGGATGAGGGGTGCTGACTCAGAGCACAAATGTACTCAGATGACATCTCATGCTGACATTGTCCATTGTCAGGTACTGATTCACTGCATGACAAATGAAAGGCCAAGGTCCCATTTCTCTGCAGCCCGAGACTTGAGGTTGACAATTGTAAGGCAAAGGCATGTCTGATTTCAGCATCAGGAAGCTGCATCCTGAAAGGTGCTCCAGACACCAGGCAATGCTGTTCATCTGCTTAGTCAAACATGGGAAAGCAAGGTCTTTGTATTTTAAATTCTAGGTAATTAAATCTAACAGTTCTTGGTAGTATTAATATTTGTGTTTATGGGATTTAGTCATTTGCCATTAAGAAGAAAGCTTTGATAATAATTCTAGAGTAATGGAATTAATTAAGGAAAGTGCTTACTGATCCACTCTGAACTGCGACAGGTAAACAGAAAACCCATTATGACAATGAGGGAAATATGGACTTTTGACCATTTCTTCCAGGTACCACATGTCACAGAACAGATAGGGAGGAAAAAGAGAAAACACAGAATTCAATTTGATCCTCAGCACCACACACAAAAAGCATTTAATTGAGATTGTCTCCTAGTATGTTCAAACCCATTTGCGCTGTGAAGACACAGTCTGTCTCTTTCTATCTCAAGCAATCTCATTCATGGGAGATAATCAGTTTTGGCAATTATAATTCACTTCCAAAGTTATTCTTTTCCAATGCATATTCTCTTTCCAATTCATATTCTTGGAAAGCAACTCAATGACAAGCTAGACAGGTCACAATGTAAGGGGAGAAAAAGTCATCCCTCTAATTTTAAAATGTAAAGCTATATACTGAATGCACACTCTCATAGTCCTTATGCCTCTATTATTTAACAACCCATAAATGAAATTAACTTTAAATATTTAAATAAATTCTCAAATAAAACAAATCAGTAAAAATATTAATTTAGTCTGAAATAAAAGCTTTGTAATTAGGATGTGTATGCTCCCTATGTCTAATTTTATTTGGACAGTAACACATTTACTTACATAAGTTTGTTTATATGAATATGTATGTACATATGCATGTAGTAGAATGTTTGATTCAATTGGATACTCAAAAATCAAAGAAGAAATCCTTTCTGGTGAATGAAGGCTAGCTGTACCAATGTTTTTATTGCTTGCCTTCCTTCCTTCCTTCCTTCCTTCCTTCCTTCCTTCCTTCCTTCCTTCCTTCCTTCCTTCTTTCCTTTCCTTTTTTTTGTACATGTAAAGAAAGTTCACTGCCACAAAATAATGTTCACTGGAAATGACTTTAAATTGCATGCACCTTGTGGTGGTATTTTACTTGTACTGAAATGTGATTTTAATTGTATGTTAATAAATAAAGTTGCCTGGGGGTCAGAGCTATTAGAGCCATAGCAAGTGCATGGCGGCGGTGGCGCACGCCTTTAAGGACCTGGAGGGCGGTGCATACAGGCAGTGACAAGGCAGTCACGTGTTTGGGTTTACAACCAATGAGAAGGCAGAACAGCTAGACTATATAAAGACATACACACAGGAAGTACGTCCCTTTCGGAGAGCTCTCTTGACTGAAGAGGATCGCTGAAGCAGGAAGGGTGAGGCTCTTAGCTCTGACCTCTTGGCTTTCTTCTCTGAATCGGCTCTGTGTTTCTTATTTAATAAGATGGTTGGTTACATCTACAGCACATGTGTGGTTAAACAATTTCTTATCAAGCTAAATAAGTGAGGCTAATCCCAGCAGTGATTCAAGTGGCACACAGAAACATTGACTTCATTTTATCATGATAAATTTACCGTTGCTTTCCTGAGAGTGTAGGTTTTCATCATAGCACTATGCATAGCATCTCTCTGGGTGTGACTACATGTCAGTGACTTCATGTGAGTGACTTCAAATTCTTTGATAACTGCCCATGGGTCACATGTTTATGTAGATGCTATGTAGATTGGGAATTTTGCATACTTAGACTATAAAGTAGTTAGAACTAAGAATGCCCAGTGAAGTTAGAAGTTCAGGGTCCTTTTGAGTCTTAATTTGGGCATGAGAAGGGACTCATAACTTGGACACAAGATCATAACCAGGAATGTACTAATTTTATATGTTAGCAATACATATGAGAACTAAAAAAAATTAAACATAATTATTGAAAAAAAGCTGAGTAACTTTTGTGCTCTTAAAGTTTCAGGGAGTCATTGATGCCCTTCATGAGCAGAATAGAAACGTGTCATGAAACACACTTCAGTGGATTTTGCTAATAACCCAGATGGATGGCTAGTTTGAGCTCATGGGTTGTGTGGACTTAGAAAAGGCATTTACTTCTTGTCCAGTAGATTAAATTACCCACTGCCCCTTCTAACTCTAAAACGCATAATTTTCCTCATATATTTAAACAGAAATAATTGGAGATAGCTTTATGCGAGATTTCCATATGTTCAAAACACACAGCCTAAAATAATGATAAATGAGAGGCAGCAGACTCTGACTATCACTGGGATAGCCCCAGGTAGCCAGAAACACTGGAGGACACCTTCCTCTTTCTTTGGTTTTGTTGGAAGGAAAAGGAAAACTGCATTCCAAATGCAAACCTGTATCTGCTTTGTGGGTATATGACAAAAAGAGTCGGCAAACACAGTGGGTCAACAATCAGAAACTAAATGCTATCTAACTCCATTTTCAGACAAAAGGAGCATATTGCTATATTTAAAGAAATGAGGACTATGACAAAAATTTTAATTAAAAAACAGTTAAGGTTATAGAACACTACATTATTAGTCAATATAAAGACCACTGGGCAAATGTCCTCTTTTCAGGTGCTCAGTTACAAAATGGGTCAGTATTTACACTCAAAGAATACAATGAGGGCAATTTAATTAAATTTGACAGTGAGTAAGTTTTAGCTTCAATGAGGATTTTTTAGAACTATCAAATCTCTAGGTATCAGATCACTGCCATGGCATTCAGTGCTGGGTTAGAAGCCTTCAGCCTTCCATTACTCTCTACTTCACAGACGTTGGTTCGGGTATAAACTAGGTAAACACACTGTTTTTGTGGCTGCCAAAACAAGGATTAAGATAGGGCAAGGGGAAATGGTACTGGCTAACAGGTGGAAGAGGGAGTGTCCTCCACTGGGTTAGTTCATCTGTCATTTCATTACTGTAGGTGAATGCTTGTCCACTCACCAGCCTTACTAGAGCGTTTGAGGGTGGTGACTCCAGGTTGTTTTTTATGTCTCAAGGTTTTGCACAGTTCATGGCACCCACTGGACACCTACTCTAGATTTATAAAAGGCCCTATGGAACTTCTTTCTCTTAACCACTTGCTAGAAAAATTGGTTAAGAAGTTTTTTTTTTTAACTTAAATGTGTGTGCATGTGTGTGCATGCGTGTGCATGTGCACATGCATTTAGGATTGACCATTAAGGATTTGGTAACTTATCAGAGGGCTTGATTCTCTCTCTCTTTCTGCAGCCATTATCTGTCTGTCTGTAGCTCTTCATACGAAATTCTCAAAACAAACGAAGAAAAAAAGCAGAACAACATCATCCAAAGGCAGAAGTTAAGTGACTCCCCCTGGTTGTGTTCCTTAAACGTATTCATGCCTTGTTTCAAATTACTCTCATGATCTGCCAGAGTGCTCGGACCTCACTATGCCACTGGTGGAGAGACCTCCTTCCAGGAAGGTCAGAGCTTTGGACTTTAGAGAGTAGTATTTAAAAGCTGGCAGTCCAAGCAAAACATATAGGGGTGGGGAGTTCTGGGAGCAATTCACAAAAGACCAGAGCTGTTACCAGTTATAGAAGTTTTACCTTCCAGGTCAATAGAGAAGTACCTGATTACATAATTTTCCAAAACATAGTCTTCTGGCAGCTTGGCCATGATGGGTTTAGACTCATGCCCAAAGGTACCCAGCTTATTTCAGAGGCTACCCTGCACTGTTATCCAGATTCTGTTTGCTTCATCTATCACAACCCAGTGCCTGGTTCTCCTTCCTTGGGGGAGGAAAAGAGGGAAGGAGAAATGAAGATACAAGAATACATCCTTTAACTTCCCTTCCCCCCTCATCTTCATGTGCTCTCAATGTAGCATTCATGGATTTCCCACTCCGGGGGCATTTTAGATGCTGCCCTCTGTTCTTCCTCTCTGCCATCCCACAGTCAATATTTAGATAATCATTCATAGCTGGCTAGGATGTGAGGTCTTGGCTGAAGTGCAGAGAACGTTCTCTGATGCCCTCTTTCCCAAACTTTAAACATGAGCTTTGTACTCAGGAGTCTACCATGGGACCTGGTAATTTACCTACCCGCCTTCTTCTGAATATTTATGCCCAAATGCCAGGATGTCGGATGCCCGTCCACTCCCATCACAGACCACGACTGGTACAGGAGGGGTGTCTCGGAGGTACTCCAAAACAATCGAGATCACGTTGGGTCCTCCTTCCACTATGAGTGCCACCACAGGAACCCCTTGGCCGATTCCTGCATTAAAAAAGGAACAGAAAAGGAAAAAAGGAGAAAAGAACACAAAGCCAGCAAACCAAATAAACAAAAAGAGAAAAAAAAAGCACAAACTAAAATTACTGAGCATGGGGGAGGTAATGAGATACGAAAGGATAAAATACTGAGTGACATTTGTAGAAAACTCATTAGTAGAATTTCCACCCCCAGAAAGTCCACATGGCCCTGCCCCATCCCCACAACTCACAAGATGGATATTACTTCACTTCACACCTGACCACCTTGGATACATGAAGAAGGGAAGTGGCCACCAAAGAAAGACGGGGCCATTAGTCAAAATGTTGGAAGCCATATTCTGATTGTAAGTAGTGTCTTATCTATCTAGTAGTTCAGTTGTCTGTGTAAAAAAGATGTAAGTTAAAAATTTCCAACTTCCAGGTTATCACAGAAGTATCCAAATAGCTCTTTTCATTAAAAATAAGTCAGTAGGGGATGGCTGGATCCACTGCTGGCTGCAGTATGCGTCTGTGTTCTAACCATAGCTGGTCAACTGAACAGCAGTTCCCAGCAACACCAGCATCATAAAAAGCCACCACTTTGGACACACGGTTTTCTGCATAGTTGGATCCTGCAGTACTGAGTAAAGTGCCATGTGCGTGATGATACCCACTACACATTTGTTGCATTCAGTTGAATTAAGGGGATTCAGAGGTATTTTCCAACACATTTAAGTTATTTATTTCAAGCCACAAAACACTGTAATTTTCATGTAAAAACTTCTGTAATGTCAGCATTGTATGTGTGATTCAATCTAACATGTCAAAGAGAGAAGCACTGAAAACCAATGTCCACAAGAGAAACAATGGGGCCCAGGTTTAGTTTATTTTAAAGTGACATTTTAAGTATCATTAGTGTCATTGAATAACTTACTTTTGTTCAGTTTGGTATCGCACTGGGTTAAACTGAACAAGATAAAAGTGAGTTGGTTTTAGGATGGGTGCAAAAGTGTTCTTACAAAAGACACAACTGAAACGTTGTGTAAACATTAATTTATATAAAACAAAACAAAAATAAGACCAAAACTTTGGTCACCTGAGTTTTCTGTTTGTTCTTTGGCTGTCATTTTATCTTGTATCAGGAAACTGCTTCCCAGTGATAAGTAATAGTTTGGGATTTGGTTTTTGCTCAATTGGTAGGAGATTTTCTTTGACTTATATGACTTGTTTTCCTTCTAAAACATGAGTGCGCCAGTCTCACAGGGTCTTATCAACTCTAAGTTACAACAGATAGACTTTTTTTTCATAGTTTGATTTTTAATCTTAAAGGAAGGGTCCACAATGCTGGTTGCACTTGAATAGGTCTTGTTTTAAATCTCCATCAAAAACATGTAGAGAAAATAATGTCTGCTGGTCAAGGTAGGAGGCTGTGTGTTCTCTGATGAGAACTGGGGAGAGATGAAGCCTGGGTCCCACCAGTTTTCAGTAGATGGGGAGGACTTTAGGATTATTCTGGAAAATCTGAGAGGACAGTGAAACATCCCATGGCTCTCCTTTCCAGGAGCCCCTTCCAATCCTGACACCATATTTCTTAAGAAGTCTGTCTGGGTGTCTGTGAAGAAAGAGCCTTCCCAGTGCTGTGTGCTGTGACTATTAAGCAAGTTCTTGAAAGGTATTTGGGAGAGAAAAAGAAGAACCAGAGACCTTCGTACAGCACACTTTTTTTTAGGGGAGGCTTTGCTGTCATAAAAACACTCATGCTGTGGGGGATTTGTATATTAATGTGCATTCAGAAACACAGCCTCTTTTTCAGAGGATAGACCTAGACTCATTCTAGTCGGGGCAATCAGTCTAGTGGTGTAGCACTGGCCCAGCATCCACAAGGCCCTGAGTTCACCCCCAAGTATGGAAAGGAAAATAAATTCTAGAAATTTCTAAACTCTAACTTTTGAGCAAAGCTTCTGTCAATGTGACTTCAACTCAAACTAATAGACCAGGTGAACTTTCCTTTAAGAACCATGTGGTGTCATCATGGAGGGAGAGGTTCTAGCCTGGGTCTCTAGAATGTTCCAGTGTTTTAAGGCCTAGTGGAAAGCAGGCAAAACAAACAAACAAACAAAAATAAAAAACACCCCCCCAAAAAACAAACAAAACCCCTGGTAATCACTTTTCCAAAAGGATAGTCAATTACAAGGGATCAGTTTTTATGGACTCATTTGAGTGTAATAAATTTCAAGTATTTCCTGAAAACCTATTTGTCAATATATCAATGTTATCTTCTCTAGAAATACAAAAATATGTTCAGGATAGTAAGATTTTCTATATTTGGAATGAAATAGGTAATTGAATAATTCAATTAAGTTCAGTGCTAAAAAATTGGATATAGCAAAATATTGTCTCCCTTTTCATAAACATTGTATATACCTATACTTCCAAATTCCCTTTCCTTTGACAACAAAAACATGAAGTTTTCCTACTGGTTAAAGAAGTACTTAATACTTAAAAGCATCTGGAGTTTCTTGTGGCAGAGACACTTGCTATGCTTAGAAATAGTTTGCTTAACACAAATAGAACTTGCCAAGATCTGGCAACATTAAGATGTTTTTTCTGGACACACATGTGCACATTGGTTGTGAATTTGAGAGGAGGAAAGGATATTAAATAAAAAGTGATGAGCTGCCGGGCGGTGGTGGCGCACGCCTTTAATCCCAGCACTCGGGAGGCAGAGACAGGCGGATCTCTGTGAGTTCGAGGCCAGCCTGGACTACCAAGTGAGTCCCAGGAAAGGCGCAAAGCTACTCAGAGAAACCCCGTCTCGAAAAAACAAAAAAAAAAAAAAAAACAAAAAAAAAAAAAAAAAAGTGATGAGCTAAGCGATGAGTGTTAGTCTGGTGGTGGAGCAAGCTTGATAGAATACTTGCATGAATGTGGTGAACATGAGAAACTCTTGCTCTACAGAAGGAAGTATATGTCTGAACAGAAACAAAGATGTTTCTAGGCAACTTCCTGGGGTTCATCCATGAATATGCACATAATGGACTTTATGAACCACATTGAAATATTCATGCATTAGATTGTTACTTTGTGATCCTCACTGGGACAAGTTCTTAGATGGGTTTTCAAGCTAAATTCTACATCTGAGGAAATTATATTCCATTTTATTGCTCTTTTACATTGATTGGACAAACCTTCCTGGTAAAACACTGTAGGATATAGCCCTTCTCTCTTTCCATCCACTCTTTCTCTCATTCTTTAATTTTTCCACCCACACTTTATTTTCTAAACCACATTTTGAACATAACATATTTAGGAAAATCTCGAGAAAAATGAACAAATTAGAATCTGTTGGATGTTGCTACATAGGATGAAATGGCTTTTTACAAGCCAAGTGTCATGCATTTTCATTAGTGACACAAATGGAATGTTTTGGGAATTACTTTTATCTGCAGCTGGTCTAGATTTGCTCAGTTCACTACTTTCTTCTTTATGCCTATCAGAAATAAAGTTCCTTTAAAGGTCCTTAAAAAGCTGTATCTTTTTCAGCTGAAATTGTTGGCTGTTTGCCTCCTAATCCCTCTCCCAAAAGTTACTCAGATTTACACTGGGGAAAAAACATTATTTAGGAAAAAGTTTATGTAGATTACTGAGGATCTCTAGATTACTCCTCTTTTGGTTTGGGGAGAAAGTAGGTTAATTCCTTAGTTAATTGCAATCATTTAAAATTTTCTTCTGTATCTTAAGACTTATAGTAGTTCTTAGGAGATTTCTATTCCAATGTTAAGTTACCTTAAGCAAGATGATGTGATATGCTTGTCACATACTTCACCTTTAGCATTTTGTCATACCCAACAAAAATATGAGCTCAGGAAATGGATGTGAGTTCAGCAGGGTCCAGTTGACCTGGACTCTCTAATTATATCAGGGCCCTAGTTCTCTCTGCACAAGGTAACATATTTGACTTTTGTGACATTTTTTTTTTTTTCTGGCTGGTATGCAATTCAGAAGTGGTTCCTTATCCCCATGCAGGAAGCATCTAAATTGGGGTAAATAAAAACTGAATTGAGTTGAGCGTTGTGCAGGAACAGAAGACTTAAAATTCCAAGTCATTAAAAATTATTTTTGTTACTTTGTGTGTACGGCTAAGTCTTGCCTGCCTGGATGTCTGTGCACCATGTGTGTTCCTGGTGTCAGCAGAGGCCAGAAGCGAGCATTAGATCCTCTAGAACTGGAGTTACAGATGTTTGTGAACTGTCATGTTGGTGCCAGGAACCAAACCTCGGTCCTCAGGAAGAGTAGCCAAGTGATCTTAACTGCCCGTCCTTCTAGCCCCCCCTTTTTAAAAAAGCTTCTATTTCACCCCCTCTATCCCCTTCCCCACCCCTCTGACATGAAACCATCTTCTATCATCAGTTCAGGTACTTATAAAAGCATTTGGTGTGTTGTACAAAAATGGCTGGTTGCTGAGAAGAATTTGTTCACACTAACACTCTGGTTCTATGTCAAGACTATCAGATAGGATTAAAGAACTTATGAGTCTATGACTCATTTTTTTTTCTGTTAAAAGATGGTTCATATTTGCATGAAGGTGGAACACACAAGATTGATCTTGACCCAAGTCTCAATGACCACAGGCCAAACTTATGATATTATAGTCTGTGTCATTCAGAGAGGAGGTTCCCACTCCTTGTATGAGACAGCTTCCTAAAGACAGTGCCCAGTTCAAGACCAAGTCTGTCACTGGTGGGGAACCAAGCAAAGCCCGTGGCAATAACGTGCACATAGTTAATTTTTGGCTTTGTCAGCTCTGCGAGTATGTGATTCCTAGTATTTTAAAAACTTGCTTGGAGCAAGAATTTATATGTTTTGAAATACTGCATATTGTCAGAATTTATCAATATGTTTTATGCTGCACAGATTTAAATTTGCATAATTACAATTATAATTAAAAAACTTCACCCACCCACTAACTCAAATACCCTGGGCTTTAATTTAGCAGTTGATTCTGCTGATTAAAACATGGCCACC